CTGAGGTAGGATTCTGTGGATCAGTCACCCACAAGTCCGAAAAACAATCTGATTCGAGAAACGAATATAAGCTTATTAGTTATAGATATTTGTCTCTAATATCTGACTGAGGTAGGATTCTGTGGATCAGTCACCCACAAGTCCGAAAAACAATCTGATTAGAGAAACGAATATAAGCTTCGGACAAAAGAGGAAGAGGCCTATAGACGTCCTATGCTCCACATAAGGAGATAAAAGGAGTCTTAATATTATATTATAGGAGGATTAATATTATATAATTATACATAATTATATATGTATAATAATGTCTGTTCTGATCCGTCTTGATGGTATGTTTCCTTATACAGGGTGTTTGAGAAGTAATGAAAAATTTTGTCGCATAGAAGTAGAATGGACTAAATTGAGAAAAAAAGTCCTCTACTATTTTACAATTTTTGCAATAGTTAACGAGATATTAATTTATAAAAATATTCAAATTCATTCGGCCCACCGCCAAATGCATGCGCGCGGTTGGATACGATCGCCCTGAGAGGCGCGCCGCGCGCGTTCGCCGTCGCTAGGCACACGTTGTTTATAATTTATAACAAACGGCAATGGACATTGTCTAGCGACGCGATCATTGCCACGCGCTTGCATTTGGCGATGGACTGAGCAAATTTGAATATTTTTATAAATTAACATCTCGTTAACTATTACGAAAATTGTAAAATGGTAGAGGACTTTTCTTTTCAGTTTAGTCCATTCTCTACTCCCCTATACGACAGAATTTTCCATTATTTTTCAAACACCCTATATATATATTATAATATAACCTCCCTATATATATATTATAATATAGTCTCCCTTTATTGGCTGTGTTTCAAAATTGTGCTAATACTGCAAATCTAGAGTTTACGTCACAAGCACTATAGATTTTCAGTACTGGCAGTCAATTTTGGAATACACCCATTATTTATCTTATTTTTCACAATTTTTCTTCTTTTAAAATTATAATATTATTGGTTGAGAAACAACGTTTTAACTTTTTATATATATACTCTATCGATAAAGTCATATCGACGATTGTCGCTTCCAATGATATGTGTCGGTAGAAACGGTGTATATATAATGTAAAATTATATTCAACTTGTGTATCGGTCGTGCATCGTGCAAGAGACAGACATCATTATCGTACCGAACCGATAGATGTCGGTAGGTGTTTACAGAATCCCGATCCTGAGGACTGCGTACAATGGAGGAACAGATATTAGATATTAAAATATTAACCTATCGGATACCAGTTACACCGGAATACACGATTCTGATATGTTAATAATTTAATATCTAAAGCCCATGGCACATACAAAAACGTAAGCCTTAAAACGTAATCAGTAAGCGAACTGGCCAATCACAGTAGAGACCGTAAGGCCGGTAGCGAATCCAATGTTACGATTTCCTTACTGATTACATCTTACGGCCTTACGTTTTTCTATATGTTTCTGGCTTTACTGATTATGTCTTATGATTTTACGTTTTTCTATGTGCCGTAGGCTTAACCCGGAATACACCCATTGTGTTTGTGTCCAGGGGTACTATACTGTAACTGTTTTTGTCGATGTCGTTTCGCAGATATTTTGTATGGCAAAAATTAAAAAAGCGCTGTGCAACGAAACCGATAACTGTCGGTAGGCGTATAAAAACAGTATATCACCTCAGGGATGCGCACAATGGAGGAACAGATATTAAGCAAAGCTCTCATGAGGAAGAGGTTAATTCAATATAAGGTTAATGATCCAAGGATACTTCGATCCCTAATAGCACAAAGTCGTCTCTGAGTCGACTTATGCTGCTAGACGCCTGAAAATAGACGTCCGTTGACTTTAGATAACTTAAATGCGCTTTTCATAGTGGATTTTGAAAGCACTTTTAAAGCGCTAAAAAGTTGCTAAAGTACACTGAGAAAAAGAAATTGTTGACTCAACTAAATTGGCGGTCACGGGCTGTCAAGCAAATATTTTGTTAATTCAAAAATATGTCCTGTCGAAATAAATAAGTCATTGTTCAATGTACTACTGCGTATTTGACTCAAATACATTAATATTTCGACTAGCAAAATATTTGCTTGACAGCCCGTGACCGCCAATTTAGTTGAATCAACAATTTCTTTTTCTCAGTGTAATGCACCTGCATACGCGCTTTTTTAGCGCTTTGTAAGCGCTACTGTATGTGCTACGTGGGCATACAATGTCCTATTTTGAAGACGACTATAAATCGATTTTAAATCAATCATCATGCGGACATATATGATATATGTACGGCTTTCTGACAAGTCGACTATTTTACAAATATCTACTTCTGGATGTCCTAAAGTCGACATTTGAGGGACGTCTATAGACGTCTGAATAAAGTCGACTCCAAAGGGCCTGATTTAAAGTTGGTTTGTAGTCGACATATCGACATTTGTGCTGTTAGGGTTGAGATGTTTTAAAAAAACACATGACTTATATTTTTAATTAATATAGCGGGAGCTCGTTGCTCATCGCTCATCGCATCCAATGTGTAGTAGACATTATGGCTGCCGCACACCTTTCGTAACAGTAACCAAACAGTGAAAAGGTGACAATGTCGATGATAAAAATATATAAAAATTACAAAATAAAATGTGACATTACTATAAATGAATGATAAGAAAATGTATAAGTAATGATAACTAATTAAAGGCTATTAATTTCTTTGTTTCATTTCATTTAACAATGTTATATAATTTTGGTGTAGACCCTCTGTATCCGTGCATTTATTCAACATATTATCCTGCATGATAATGTGTATACATTCAAATATCAAACGTTTATTTAAATAACGTTCTGAATCAAGTATTGTCACATTTTCCCAATCTTTTGGGAAAATAGTTGAGTTTAACATGACTTTTCAAAGTCATGTTAAACTCAGCTATTTTCGTTTATACGATAACTTGTAACCAATAAGTTATAAAATAATTTTAAATTATGAGCGCGTTTGATGCGCACTATAATGCACGACAAAATGTGCATGGAAATCAGCAGCTCTGTATATGTTCTGTAACTTTTATCATGGTAAAAAAGCTGCGCAACGGTGTTGCAATACGGTGTTGTTTACGACATGATTTTGATATATAGATGGTACGAATTTTGCAATAGTCAGCTTTGGAGATTGAACATCGTTGCTCATCCCTTTTCCTAGCAGACTGTGATGCCAATCGGATGTGTGTGAGTTGTGTGTGGTTGTATGTCTTGCAACAACGATATAAAATCATTACAGATAAGTTTAGAATATGCTTTATAAAACTGTGATTCTATATAAAAGTTTTATTAATATATATATATTTGCACTGATACATTTTGCATAATTCTAACGTTTGATGTTGCATTCACAGCAAAATACATAAAGTTCTTATTAATACTTATCTTTCTTTTACCTGATGTATATTAATTAATTCAAATATAATTGTTTCAATCACTTGATTCAATATTTATTAAATAAGTAAATTTCTCTCATAAGTTTTAACAAGTTGTGAACTTAGAGCTCAAGAAAGAGATGTTATTGTAAATTTTCGTATCACTTGAAAGTTGAAACTAATGGAATAGTCTCGTTCTACCCTATTAGAAACTTTTTTACTTAGGAGTTCTCAAAAAGGATGGATTTTTGAGAACTCCTTCGCCGAGCGAAGTGAACAACTAAAAACAAATGGTAAATAAATAGTAATTTATTTGTTCATATTAATGTTTATTTGTTCATTTATACAGGGTGATTCAAAATAATCTTTTGTTCTAAAAGAGACGTATTCCTGGCTGTATTCTGAGACGATTTCTTCTTTGACAAAAATTGGTCAAAGGAAGCTTAGTTTTTAAATTATAAACAGAAACAATTAGCGTATCACAAGTCGAATGCGGAAGGTAAGCAGAGGTGGCGCGCTCACCGATGCATACGGGGGACGCACTTGCGCCCGCGGTATTAGACCGACAGTCACACGATAGTACACACACCTACGGTAATACATTCGAATTTTCTTTCTTAATTCATATTACATTAATTTATACTATTCATATTGCATTTTTATATAATGTTTATCAAACGTGTAAATATTCAGGTAACTGTTTGACACAGATGTAACTATTTTATATATTTTATTATTTAACGTAATATATAATTTGTTTTTAATTAAACTTTTTAAGCAAAAAGCATAGAATGTATAAAGATTTGATGTTCGAGCAACCGATTTCCAAGCAACCAATAAATTGTACGTGGACTAGTAGAGTGCATTTCCTTCACATTTGTTAAAATAATATGTCTAGGAATTTAGGTTTGCAAATATAAGGAAAATGTATAATGAACGTTTCTTTTGTATCAATAACATCTCTTTAGAGAATATGGTGTGTCTCCTAGAATCTTTCAAATCCTAGAATTGAGCAAAATAATAGTCGACATTTCCCATAAAGAGAATTTCAGCTTTGAAGGCCAAACAAATTAATAAATTATTCGACTGTGTCATTGTGATTCGGTAAAATTACCAAACGTACGAAATTCTTCTTTAACGCATGTTCACATGCTATTTAGAAATTTCGAAAATCAAAAATTTTAAATCACATAAAGCGAGATCACAAGCAATATTTCGTAAGTTGCAATGCATACTAGAGGGGCTCGAATTTTGCCCACATTATGCATTACGCTACATGAATATTGAGTTCTTGAAGATGAGCAGACAAGTAATACAATGTCAACAGGTTTCTCGACTATTATGCAAGCAATCGATTTAGGCACATCGTGGAAAGGTCAAGTCGACTTGAACTTACTTTTGGTAGAAGATTCTATACCAGCCAGTGTCTTCTTTCTCGTTTCTTCCCTCTTTTTCTTTCTTTTTTCGCCATGGCTATACAGAATTCTGGCTTTTTCTCGTTTCTGGGTACATTATGATCAGGGAAAGTGGGGATTTGCGGTTTTGTATAAAAACGCATTCGGATCTCATGGCGATCACACTCGAAATCTCATCACGCTCCTCCATTGGATCAACAGATTCGAGCCATACGACAAAATGAAATTCCTTGTGAGTTTTGCATTTTTCTTTATTTCATCTCTTTTTGAGATTTATAAATAGACTGTTACATATATAATTCGTAAAATTTATTATTATTAATTAAATTCTAATCGATTTTCTGTATTGTTCTAATTTAAATCTTTAAAGATTTTCAAAATCTTCAACTAATTTAATTTGGTTAATTTCTGTTAGTATATTATATATTGAACATGGCCGGAGACGCTACCGCGTCTCCTGATTTCAGTATATGTACAATTAAGAAGATACTCTTAAATATTTTCAGTATTCTTAGATTTATAAATACCTAATAATTCTTGGATTTCCCCATTCGTTAAGATCTTTTCTAATTATTACGAAAACAGTTTATTACAATTCTGTGATCTTGCAAGTAACATTTGATTAATCGAGAAAAGATTAGTTAACTAAAATGTCAGATCAATCGCAAATAATGGAAACTTAATTCGCTTATATATATATATATATATACCAAAATTATTTAATTAATATCTCCATGATATTCACTTCTTTTCACGGATTTATTACGAAACTTGTAATTTTTTTTGCAGTGCGCAATATTGTGCGAAAGTAACAATTTTTTGCCTTTTGATATTCTGGTCAGTAACAATGAATTTATGTAATCGACGTATATAACTCGTAAACAATAGAAACTTGTTATTTAATTGGCATATTTTGCTTGTCAATTAATACCCAGTCATGATAATGATGTTATAAATCATTGTATAACGCGTATGTTAGTTTCTTTGTTCATATTTTTTTTTTATATTTTGATTATTTCTTTTACAGTTTTACATTTCTTATTTTATCTAACAAGTAGATTTAACATTTTAAAATCCTTTATAATTATTTGTTAATAATAAACAAAAATAAGTTAATAATTACGCAATCAGTCTTATATCTTCATACGTGGAAAGATCAGTTTCCGTTATAAAAATTAGAATAGATATAGAATAGATGAGTGAAAATAATTGTGTTGAACCATAAAGATAATAATGTAGGACAAACAAGCATAATAATAACGCTACAAAAAGTTTTATAGCATTCTAAAAAGCTTGATATATATAATTCAATATATTAATAATTTTAAATTAACTAGTACACTATTAGTCTACTAGTACACATACTAGTAGACACTACCACGTCTCCTGATTATTTAGATAGTCCAATATATAGGGGAGAATGTCCTAAATCGAATCGTGTTTCAAATCGGACCTTTTTAATTAAAATAAATACGGTTAAGCAGATTTGCATGCTATTTATAATGTAAAGTCCTTATAAGACATCGAACATGTGACAGCAGTTTGGCAGTACTCTGTTATAACGTTCATAGATTAGATGCCAATATGTATTTTCGGCTATCATGCAAAAATTTTTTTAAAAAAGATAATCCTTGTAAATCATTATTTAAAAGATGTTAAAAATTTGAACGATAATTGATTTAAGATAATTAAAGAGTGTAGAATTCAAAAATATCGAAAATTTTGTTATTACTTTCGCAGTTTATTGTAAAATTTGTTCCAATCGTTCAAAAAAACCAGTATCCAAATCGGACCTATATAAAAACACTAAAAAGACAGCTAATTCATCGAAGAAAGAGAGTTCGCCACAACCTAGTTATAGTACTGGTAATCGACCAATCAGATCTGGTTTAAGGAACACTAAATCAATAAAATATCATGTGTCATCAGACTCAAGTTGATAGAATCTTTTATTGATTTTAATTCTAATAATATAAAATGTATTTTTATCTTTGAGTCTTAAATTGCTCGTTTTTACTCAATACTAACAAAAATTAATTAAAATATTTTTAAATTCTATCTAAAAGTCTATAAAAATAGGAGAGGTCCGATTTGAAACTCATAGTTCTAAATCGAACCGGAAAATGCATTTTTACATTTTCCATTATAGTTCGATACAGGTAAGAGATACGTCAAAACGGTCTCAAGCAAAATGAAAGAAATTAAATGATCTTTCGAACGGCACCATTGGTTTTATGATCGGACTTTATTTACGCCTCATAGAGAACAAAAACTGCAAATAGGTCCGATTTAGACCACTCTCCCCTAATAATTATTTTCAGATCCGTATCTAGTTTAATCCTTTTAATTCGATAAAATTCTTTCCATGTAGGAAATGATAACAAAATTATTCTCATCGCTTGCCTAATTATACCTGTACCTATTTTAATTTCTGTTTTAGATTGTAACTCTCGCTTTAGTCACAATTGCTCTAGCACAGCATCAGCACCAGCAATCGCATGTACAGCCAATAGCCATTTTGAAGCAAGCGCAGGATATCTCGCCGGAAGGATCTTACAGTTACGCCTATGAAACCGAGAACGGAATCGCCGCTTCCGAGCAGGGCTCACCGCAACCCGTTGGACCCAAGGGCGATCCTGCAGTCATCGCCCAAGGTCAGTTTCAGTACACCGCTCCCGACGGCACCCCCGTTGCCCTTCAGTACACAGCCGACGAGAACGGCTTCCACCCACAGGGTGCCCATCTGCCGGTCGCTCCACAGGTACCTGAGCTGATCCAAAGAGCCGTCGCATATGTTTTAGCTCATCCGCAGCCTGAGAACCAGTAATAAATAATCGATGATATTTAGCAACATCTCCGGACAAAATGCTTACCACTTTTGAACCACGCGAACTATAGATACAAAGTGTTTTCTTAATATATAAATACAAATATTTCGTAAAAATTTTCAGCGTACTCATTTGTCGACCCAATAAATCCACTGAAACATTATTGCGTAAAACAATAAAATCGAAAGTGTTACTTTTAGAGATGAACTTGTTCAATTTTTATTAATTACACGAAAAGAATTACACGATTATGTTAAATTATTTAAAAATTTAGCTACAGATATACCGATCTGAAAATAATTTTGTTGGGCTATTAATAAAATAATTATGTCGAAATTTCAAGTATGGTGAACAATATTGTAAAAAGATTGATCATTTTAGCAACCAGTTTAAGCGTCCTGAGCTAATTATTTTGATAGCCTAACAAAATTATTTGTGAAGTCTGTATTTAGCTGAATCTTTAAGTACATCAGCAAAACTGTCCTTTTCGTTATAATAGAAATAAATTAGTACGATAAAGATATTAGGTGTATATAATTTTCCCAGACAATCATGACTATTTCTATCCAGAATTTTATTTAAATATAATTTAGTATCATTATATTTAAATCATAAATATATCACAAGAATTAAGAGGATAAAAGAAGGGATTGGTTGTAATTTAATTTCATGTACGATTAAACGAGTCGCATTCTTTGCATATGCTATTTTTAATTTTTAAAATAGCTCTCTTAGGTCATATAGATTCCGCAGATTCTGTAGAAAGGACACGACGAGATATTTTACATCTTGTTATGTATGCGCGCCAGATATTTCCGGCCAGAAGACCCTGGCATTTATTCTTGCACAACAAGTATAATCGCGATAACACCATCATGCCAGTAACAATTTCGGTGACATGCAGGTGAACATAATTTCTATACAAAGGTGGAGCAAATAGGAATGGCTGCGGATGCTCGGGTAAAAAAGTATGACTTACCTACGTGATCTATAAGTTTCAAAGACGTTTTTGCGATTTCTCTTGGAAAATTAGCTTCTTTAAAAAAAATTATGTTACATTTTGTGAATCGCTATACGACTGTCTTGGAATAGAAAAAAAATATACGGTAGATTCGTTTGACAGAGAAAAAGACGTGGGCGCGAACGATAAATATTAATATTACTGAGAGACAAAAATCATTACCGCCCACATTTAATATCAAGGCTATAATATTATACTGCATTCCATAAGTAGAAAACGCATCAGGAAAACTATACATTAAGCTGTGCTTATGCTTGAACAAAGTTTTGTATATATGAATCAATTTGAAAAATTTAATATAATATTCGGCAAGAACCTATTTTCAAAACATCCTGTAATAGATCTCCGATAACAAAAACGTCGTTTTAATAGCAATAATAATAGCGTGATTAAGCAGCAGTATCGTTTATACAACAGCCACTGTTTATTATTCTCTCGTGTGAGAAGCGCAATTAGCGCTGATTAACGTTGATACAATGATTAAAATGTAATTTTCAAACGTGACGTAATAAAATTCTCTTAATATGTAAATTCTCTGTCGCGTATATCGTGGTATTATTTCAATCAACAAAGAAAATATTTCCTAAGAAATCACAAATATTACGGCGCACATTATTTATTAATAAAATTACTATTTATTAATAAAATGACAACTTTTGCGCTTACTAGTAAGTATCGTTACTATAACATTATATAGAAAACGACGAGGGAGATCGCGAAATTGATAATTTCCCGTTTTTTGTGTGACATCCATCTCATGATGGTATGCAAAGGTAGGAAATGGGAAATCATCCATTAAGATTCTTATCTCGCAAGATATCTTGATTTTATTACCAATAATGCGTTTCATGAGCGTAACGTATAATAGTTATATCACCATTAATAAATGTTATTATTAGCTCAAAATTGAATAAAAAAATTTTCGTAACTGAAAAAATAATTGTTAATGAAAAAAATATCTTTAGTTAAACAATAAATATATTGCTATATCAGGGACTTGAATCAAAATTTCTGTCCGAAGCTATAACAGACCCAATTTTTCGGTTTCTATTCCAATACTTTTACGATGGGTAAACCATTTTGGATTTCGATCTTTTTCGAATTTACTCTAGCTATTCCATCTTTGATGACACCATTCGAATTTGATCAGTCCTATGCAAGAAACGGAGCGAATGATTAGAATTAATTTCATCAATAGGCTGTTGCCTATACCTCGAAAAGTTTAAACAAAACAAGTGATAATTCTCTAATAAGCTATCATATAATATATAGATTGACACTTATACTACAGGCGAAATTGATTTCATATAGTCACTTCTTCAGTAATTATCGAGATTCTTTGGGAAAGTCAGTACTTCGCAAGAATAAAATCTCGTCAACCAAAATTCGTCAATCTAATACATCCCACGAAGATTCACTTCCAAAGATATCTATTATAAACCGCTATTTCGCAAGCCGCATTGATTTAGTCAGGCAATTATCCAGTAAATTTCAATTATTTACATTCACTCGTTCGTACACTCATTTTTCATTTCTCAGTTCATTCAGTTCAATCATACAGTCACACGTATTAAAGTATTTCTTAGTCAATTTGTCAAGTCAGTGCTTCATTTATCCGACTTACCTCCATCTTTTCTGGACATCATCTTTTCTGAAGTCAAGGAACGACTCTGTATATATTTGAGCATTATTTCAAGTAGTAAGAGTCTCGAGGCCTTATTGATAGCCTCATTGATCGATTATCATGATCGATTGTCACGAAAATTTGCCCAGAACCGATCATCTTTAATAGGATCGTCGGTGATGTGAGTGATTCTTTCGAAAACCGACATGACATTTTACCCTACAGTTTCCGATTGTTTATACTCCGCGAAAATGTTCTTTAAGAGGAAATACGACGACCTGTATCCCTTTGTTTTTCCTTAAAGCAAACCGTTAGCTGCAGTACTGCAACTTATTTTAGACGCATGATTCAGTTTGATAAGTAGTATTTAAATTAGAATAAGAGAAAAAAATCATGCACACGTTCGTATTTTCTAAACACGTTGGTAACGATGATATTTACAGTTTCGCCATGAAGTCTCAGCGTGATGTTCTTACAATATGTATGCGCGTAGGTGTAACAAAGACAACGGTACGTATAAGTCAATTCCGCAGGATTTGTTAACTCTTTTATCAGCGATATCTGTAATTATACGCGAAACATCGATGGAGACGTAAATGTTCGCGGGACGTAGGCGAGTAGAATTGTGAACACCCATTACTGATGTTTTCTGCGAAATTTGAGGAAGCACTATAATAATCATCTATTGTGCAAGTCTTGCACAATTAGTTGCAATAAAGAATATATGTAATGCTATTGCATGGGTGTTTTTAAAGATAACTAATTCTTTAGTGCAATTTTATTAATTCATACAATTGTTCGACATGTAAATAAGTTAAAAAAGAAAAAGTGCTAAATTAAATAATGCGTTTTGGAAATGTTAATAAAAAGTATTATTTTTCATAATTTTTAATATATCTTGAAAACGATGCAAAATAAGAAAAAACTTCAATTGAACTTTTATGTAGGAAATTAAATTTCGATTAGGTATATCACAATTTTTTTCGATATAAGAAACTTACAACAGAAGAAGAAAACGAAAGAAAAAAATAACGGAAATTTGCGATAACTTTCAATTCTTACTTTTTGGTGTATAACTTTTCTATTCTATCAATCCAAATGCTTTTGCCATAATTAGAGAAAAAAATAAACATTGCAACAAAAAAATAAAAGCTCAAATAAAAGATTTTGATCACTCGATATCGTTAATACAAGTTGGACATTTTTAATCAGTTTTCCAATATTTTAGCTTTATTTCAATCATATGTTATTAAAACTTTCTTTTATTGCAATTATGTTCTTCCCTCCTTTGTTTAAAGATTTTAATATATCAAATACATACTTATGTAAAATTAATAGAGATAAAAAATTTGACGAAATTTTTTCAATTTAGATATTAATTTATCTTTATATTATATTATTTTGCATGACACTACTTATCTTACTCAGATGTTCTCTACGTGATATTTTAAACATATATTTTCGTATTATACTTTTTGTATTCGTAATAATATTTCTCATCGTCAATTATATTATGTCCTAACTCACGCTGTAATAAAAGCCGGACTTATGCCGCATTCTAGGGCAAGCCCGCGATCAAACAATAACGATCTTTTTAGTTAGAAACTCAAGCACATTCAGGATGAATTCTATTTTATACTGACACCGAACGAACCCGCCCTTTCTTTTGTCTCAATGCTTAGCATTCTACAAGCGAGAATTGTTGCATTGTTTAGTGTGAGGAAGATTACGCTTGTAATAAAACGTGAATTATGGCATTAATCTCGCTTCTCAATAAAACAGTTTATATACTCGAGAAAAAAATTTCATATAATTATTTATATTTATGTATAATTATATTAAATTATGTATAATTATGCATAATAATATATTATTGTGTATAATCATACATATAAAAAAATTTTTGGCAGATTTACATTCTATACATAATAATAATGTACCTGTATAATTCAGGAAAAATATTATTGTATCTATATGTAATTTTATACATGATTACAATAAAAAATTTTTCACTAAGTCATAAGAAATATACATATATATTAAATATAATTCAACTATATATACATATTATATATAATTTTATATGTATACAGTGTTCTTACACATGGCTGTTTGTACTATAATTACAGATTAAAAGTAAGCTTATTTTGATATTTATATACAATACAATATGGTTACAATATTACTGGAATAATCTATTGACTAGATATGTCATAGTTATACATTCATTCTATATTCGGGGTTTGTAGATCATCGTAGTAATTTCCATTTGCAGAGATTAAAACGCTAGATGAGATATATCTTAAAATAGATAATTGCTTAGGAATACCACGAAATTAACTCTCGAATTCATGGAGAAACATTTTTTATCTTAATTTTGCAGTGTGTATTCTGAAATATGAATAAAAATATGCTAATCAATAATACGTACTTTAGAATTATAAATAAATATTATAACATCCAATAAAACT